TCAACGATCAACACAAAATGTCAAAGGTCAATGGGCGGAATGCATATTTATATACATGCGACTAAACAGCGGTTGAACCAAGCGCTTAGGCAGCACTTGGACCCACATGTTGTGCCGAGACTACCTAATCAGTCTAGACATGACTAACTTCGCAATCGTCTAGACCACCTAGGTCGCTACATAGACCTCCTAAACGTGACTAATTTTGCAACTGCCCCTAGGTGGTGCCTAACTGCTCAAGGGTCTAGAAAGGCTGAATTGGACGCCTGAAGGCCACCAGGCTCGATTTTAAGATTTTTAGAACAATGAGTGATTCTTTCTACATGCAGCTGTTGTATTTGCATTTTTTTTTTTTTTTTGTGTGGAATTTTTATAGAATGTGAAATATGATTGATTAGTTCTCTGGTAATAAGGTTAACTGTTATTAACTGGTTCAAAATTATAATATGAAGCTACCAAATAAATTTCTGTTATTTTTATTTGGTTCAAAATTATTTTTACTCAATATTAATTGATTATTTTACTTTATTTAAAAGAATTACAAAAGGGAATAATATGATCAAACACTTGAGGCGACACACATCACCAATGCCCATCACTATAGACATGACACAACAGTTGCATTAACTTTCTCCTACAAATCCCTACCATTGTAGTGTAAATTCATACCTATCTGGCCCATGCCGGGGTCCAAGCCCATAGATCAACATACGCTCGCATAGAGTTTGCGTGCGCATGTGTGATCAGTGCCCACACTGACAGGGTCGACCTTCCATTGTAGACGGGTATTTCGTGCATCTAACTTTGCCCATCACCAATTTAGAAAAGAAAAAAACCACTTAAAGTCGAGAAAACTGTTTGGCGAGACATGTGAGTCCAATACACGTATTTTTCACTAGCACAAGTATTTGACTACAGTCATATCCAAGAAACATGATCGTCATCCAGACCAGATATCTGCATATTTTACAAACTGACCCACCATCTTCATATAATTCAGACAACCCAAACTGTTAACCTTTTGTAAACAGAGAGACAAAATCCGAAGATAGAAACCAAACAATCCCAACTGACCATTCTAATCAAGCTTTCCCATAACAATGAGATGACATATCATAAGAAAATACACATTAATTTCCTTTTCCTCCGCTTTCCCTATTATCATCAGACACACACACCACCCATCCCATATGATCTTTTAGATTTGCAAAGTGTATTCTTATCAGCTTATCCTGAAATTTTTCGGCCAATCTGAGGAAACCGAGTTTGGATAAGCTTTTGAATGGCAAAAGATGTATAAAACCTGTTTACAAAATGTGCACAGCAACTGAAATCACATATCAATACAGATCATTAAAAAAAAGATAATTAGAAGAGAGAGAGAGAGAGAGAGAGATTCTCAAACGGCAGACAAAGATTGCTAAGGCAAGATACTGTTAGAATATATTTTGTATATATGGTTATAATATATTTTGTATATATATTGTAGGATTAGATTTAGGCTCATTATGTTCCTATATATATGTGTACATGTCTTTTGAATAATACAGAATATATTTTTCCCAAATTCTAACATGGTATCAGACTAGGTTTAAGGTTCCAAATAGAGTTTTGGTTCGTCGATCTTCTACAGTGCCCACCGGTTCTCACCTCCCATACCATCGGGTCCGCCGTCTCGAGACGAGTCTTCGCCGACCGGAACCACCCAGATCGGCCGCGCGTGCAGCTCCCACGCGCCGACTTTGTCCGGAAGCGCCGTGAGCTTCCGGCGGTGCGTGTGGTTCACCTCCTCAGCCGTTTGCCGCCGCCTTTCAGCCGCCGACTCCTGTCGACGTCGGCTACCTTGTGGTGTGCTCGGATTTGGTATTCGTGAACTTTTTATTTTTGGCCTTTTACTGCTATTTTGTCCGGTTTGTGATCCAATTCCGTCTGCTTCGTACTGTTGCTGGTTGCTGGTGCTTCTTTATTTTTTGGATATGGATTCTTCTA